ATATTCTGTTATATTTATAACATAATTTGATTCATAATTTAATTACTGCGTTGCTTTCTTCCCTGTCATTCAATGTGCATGTTCAAACCCCTAAACTTTTAATATTTCATTTTTCATAAATGGCTACGTTAGTGCGTTGCCTAGATCTCGCGTTACCTATCCACAAGAATAGATTAAAATAATTTTTTACTATCATATTTCTGTTTATCTAATTCATAATACAAAATTGATAATTCATTTATAATAGTATAGATCATATTCGTTTATATCACTATCTGATGCTAAGGTTTTATTTCAGAAAATATAATTAATTCAAAATGTAGAAAGATACACAATTTGCCATTATTTGACTTTTAAACTGTACAAAGTATGATATAATGATCAGAATGCCTGTAACGGGTGGTATTTAAGAAAGAAATATTTTTTCAGATATGCCCTTCAGTAGTATTATTGCATATCTCCAGAGAGAGGTTTACATTGTTGTTCTCATTATTTGTGGATAATTCAAAAAGCCACATAGAAAATATATATGCTACCATGACGAAAGAATACAGAGTATACATAACTTGCAATTCTATATATTCAGCAAACAGCCCAAAACCGAAACTCCACAACATATCCGATTACACTGATTAAGGCTGTCCCAGTTCTCCATGCGATACTGACGCCCGTTCGTCTCCCAGACCATACGGAATAAATTTAAAAGGAATCCAGCTCAAGTCTAGAACGATTTGGCAAGCCTAGATTGCCTTAATTCTATCCATGAAAGTAAGCATTAATAAAAAAAATATTGTTCTTGTCTGCATCAGATTATATTTTGTAGATACTTATTTTAACAAGGAAAATTGTACTGACACCGGCGCTGTCCCTATTGAAGCTATCCATAAGAATTTCGAATTGCCGTCCATTATTCGATGTCAATACATCGATGACAAGTGAGGATATCATAAAGTAATCGTTGATGCCGCGCTACACTTTGATAAAAATTATAATCAAGTTGACTGGTGTGTACATTACTACAGTGAACATGTACATGATCATGCCCTAATAATCAAATGCCGTAATGTAAAATACTAATTTATTATTGTGTGATGGATTTAACTGGATCAGTGGTAACATGTGATATTAATATTCCATCAATTTCTTTCCTGGTTGGTCCATCCATGTCTACAAAATGAAAATAATACAATTAAAATGGAGCATAGAACAATTCTTAATTTCAGGCTAGAGCTGTGGAAATCTAGACTTTCCCAATCATTATAGACTTGAGTTGGTCTCATGTTTAACATTATTCTCTTGGGTCAACGTCACAGCTCATACCATACACTAACAAGACCAGCTTGCCCCCCGCCGGAGCTCCCGGATTTTGGTTATATCATCTAACATGGCCAACTCTGCTCTTAAGTAAACAAGAACCTAATCAGCGAGGGGTCCTTTATCATCCCTATGTGGCTGCTTATAAAAATCTGATATCTTTTCCCAAAGACCTGGTTAATAATATATTTTCTGCTGAATATTCGAAACAAATAGAGTGAGTTGGTACTACATGTACATATGTATACGGTTACTTGTGGGTTTTGCACTTATTGTGCATATATTTTGAAGTTTGTGTACGGAGGCTAGGTTGGCCCAATTGCCTCGGGCGCTGTATTCGCTACGCAGAGTTGTGTACCTTGGCACGCCAGAAACCTATGACAGTGTGTTCGAATTCCGGCTCGCCCCGATTATATTGTCAGCATTAATACCTTTGCTCGTTGGTTTCACCAAAGTGGTGAACGTCAAAGACCTGCATCATTTCGGGCTTTCCTCCCACGTCAAGCTGACACGGCATGATATAAGTGAAATACTATTCAAAGTGGCGTTAAACCCAACTCACCCATTACCCGTGTGTGCGGTTCCGTTTATTTACTTTAGGTTGTGTTGTGATTACTGCTGGTTTAGATTCGAAGTATGTTTAGAAGAATGTTCTAAGTTCAACCCAAATGTCGTGAATATATCATGCAACCGTATTACTGGTTGGGAAAATAATTGCAAACTACAGTCCATCCTGTTGATTTCCTATGCATCCAGCAGCAAAGCGCATACATGGTTGTCAAATCTTTGTCGAAATAACTGTCAAAGCAATAAACCATGCAGAACCGAAAACGGTATGAATCATGCATTACATAGAGTGAACTACTTGAACAATACTGTGCTCAAATCTGCACAGCAAGCACCATACATGTGATTATTATGACAACTAATTATAAATTTCTCATGTCAAACCCGTTGTTGTACATATGTTGTTGACGCGACTTAAACTTATGATCTCACACACTCATTCCTATTACTCGATTCCGGGGGAGAATAGGTCTTCAGCAACCCGTGCTTGCCGTAAAAGGTGACTATGCTTGTCGTAAAAGGCGACTAACGGGATCGGGTGGTCAGGCTCGCTGACTTGGTTGATGCATGTCATCGATCCCAATTGCGTGGATCGATGCTCATGAAATTAATCACTGTATTGTCTGGTCAAGACTCGATTATTTACAGACCGCCGTCATATAGCTGGAATATTGTTGAGTGCGGCGTTAAAAAACCAACCAACCAACCAACCAACATGTGTTGTTTATTGAACAAAGTAATTCTTTAGAAGCCGGGTATTTAATCGTATTGAAAAATAAGTTGCAATTCCTCCCTGAAACCCTTCTCGCTGGCTGCCTGAATAGGCATACGATACATTGCAAAGGTAGTGCGCAATAGAGCTATTCGGGTAAGGGGGATAATCACTCACTCTCTGTGATACAGTTTAAGCCTGTAGCAAAAGGATATATTCGCTAGTTTTTTTACGGTCTTGTTCTTACTTTGTACAGCCTGAATGGCTCCTGAAGGAGAGGCCACAACTCTTTAAAATGAAAAGTATCATTCTTCTTCCTTTTTGGGGGGCCCGCGTGGCCCAGTCGTCTAAGGCGCCGCGATTCGCTGTGCAGAGTTGCGTACCTTGGACACGCCAGAAACCTATGATATGTTTCTAGGTTTGTCAGCACCATACCCGTGCTCGTGGGTTTCACCGAAGTAGTAAACGTCTGAGACCTGCATCACTTCGGGCTTTTCTCCCACATTAAGCTGTCACGCCGTGATATAACTGGAATAATGTTAAAAGCGGCGTTAAACCAAACTCACTCACTCACTCACTCTTCCTTTTTTGTGACCATGGCTGCATCGACGCCTTTAAGATGCCAGAAAAGACTCAATACATTGACTTTGGCATTTCGTTTGTTATTTTGTCATTAAATCCCGATTGCATTGATGTACACAACAGTCGAATACAATTATTTTCTCTGGACATTCTATAAGGTCGACTGCATATAAGGCTATTGTATGTATGGTGTATTGTCACTAATATCCTAACTTTCATGCAAAAGATAGAGTGATTTACAGAATTCAAATGTTTGAGGACCGATTGCAAAGAGTTCTGTTCATGCTCGATCTTCTCTGGCTGACTTGATTCGATCATTTATTTCTGTTGTGTCTCTCAAACAAATCAATCCTCAAAGAGTACACTCAGTGCCAAATATGATGTTTTTCGCTTGGAATGTTATGTCTTCAAACGGATTTGTACAGTATGATTTAGCTGTAAAGTTCAGATTTGAATTCAGGATCAGTAATCAAACTACATGAAGAAATACCGCATTGAGATTGGATCGAAAGAAACATCCCCTCCAACTTAACTGAGCATTTTTTAAGATGTTTGAGTCATCGTTTTTAAAATAGAAGTAGCCTTCATGATGAACATACATGTAGGTCTATTTGAGGGTATCACGAAGGGCCACCCGAGGATAGCAATCTAAACCTTAGTGTGCAGTCCCGTCTGCTGCACAGTTTGGGCAGTTTTAATCTCTCGGCACATACAGTTTCTAGTTTCTTCGTTCAACAGTTTTCGTTAAACACGTGATTCTTAACACTGGCATGTAAAATGTGACTGTCTGATGACGGATGTGACCGTGGACCTTTCTGCTATTACTTGCGATGAATGTATTCATTCGTTTATGTGTTTGTTTACAAACATTATCAAGAAAAGATGCCTTCGAAATTATGTTTATTCATAAAAAACAAATGGATGTGGGATACATTTTCCCACTGGAACATCTAACATATTTCTTAATTTAAGGTAATCTTAAGGTACTTTTATGGCGCTCGGCGTTAAGGGGCTGAAACAAGGACTGGTCGGCTCGGTGTCAGTAAACTCTGAGTGGGGTATGTTAAACTGCGGCTTGGTATCTCAGTGAGCTGGCACTATAAATCAGCATCAGTCCGGACTAGTACAAGCAGCCGCACAAACACACAAACGTACATTCACGTCGCTATATAAGTGCAATTATCTTGGACGCGACGTTAAACCCCATTTCACCTCACCTGTGAGGTTACAATGTGCTAACGCAACCTCTCTCTACAGGAACAGGTAAGATTACCATGATCCATGAACAAAATCATGATGTGAGCCTGACTCACCAGTACGGCAGTAGCACATTGCCAAGCGACCAATAAAGAGCCGGGGTAGAATAGGTCTTCAGCAACCCATGCATGCTTGCCCTGAAAGGCGACTATGCTTGACGTAAGCATAAGGATCGGATGGTCAGGCTCGCTGAACTGGTTGATGCATGTTTGTTTATTCGTTGTCTAACGCCGCACGCAAACAACAAACCAGCCAGCCAGCCAGCCTTGCCAAGCTGTGTGTAGTCGCGGCAGCATATCAGGGATGTTATGGCATGCATGTGGGAAGTGGTTTGGCTGACGTCGCATGACAGGAGTACTGATATGCGGCGCCATGCAATTGACACTTCCTATTTTATGCAATTTGTATGAATGGTGGGTTCTTCCGGTAGGGCAGAACATGCTTCCCCTTTTCACCTAGTGTCATCACTGATTTTGTGTGACCCATTCATATACATTCCAAAGCTATTGTACCAAATGGAATCTTTTTCGGCAGAAATTCTAGGATGGTTATTCTCTTGCATTGACAGTTTACATTTTGCATACTTTTTATTCGTACAAACGTTTCTCTCCTTGTGAGAACGTTTGGAGCTAACATTGCTGATAATTCAATCAGCGATGGTAATACAAACAATTCCAGACTCATTCTCATTTCATATCAAACTATACACAGCTAGTGTCCACTAATAAATGTTTTCTCTTTCCTATTTTAGTGTGATGCACACTTTTATCCTCACGGCCTTACCCATATCTGATCACCAATCACAACAAATATCAATGAAGTATATTCAAGTTCAGCGAGTAGCTCTGTACTTGCAATTCACGCAAGATGCACATTTGTAACACTATTGCTGTGAAACTGATTACATGTTTGCTGATAATATCCTGCCAGCATCAATGATCACACTTAACATAAGTACAATGCAATCCCTTTCTGCTGAGGGTTCTAGGGGCATATGAATCAGTCTTAGAAGCTAATTGCAGCTTTGATCTTCTCCCAAAACTCCCTTTTATCATTTTCAACTGTTGGATACTTAATATAGGTGTCATAATTGATCTGGTCCCGGATATCTCTACTGAGGATTCTCGTGTCGGGTATGTCAGTATACCACAACACACACAGGACGTCTCTTCCAGTGTGGATGCTCTCCAGCTTAGCCATGTGGACTTCATAGTCACACCAGGCGCTCTTTGCAAAGTCCGGTGACAAAACAGCAATGGTCTTCCTGCTTGACTGAATAGCATTGATGATGTTGGCAGTAATGGCTTCCCCAACCATGAAATCACGGTGATGGATGCACAACCTCAAGCCATAGTGTCTCTCCAGTACAGTTCGCATGTCTTCGATAACGAACCCTCTGTCTCCATCAGCATAGGAAACAAAGGCATCATAAGTAAAATGGTCTTCACCTTCTCTCAGTCTCTGGTAGCCTCTGTACTTCCGTCTAGTGGTGTAGTATAGATAGCGCAGCTTCCATCGATATCGGTATACCATACCAGCTCCAAATATGAACATGGAAAATATTATTCCAACCACTGCTGAGGATATCAGAGGAATTACAATTTTACATCGTAGCCGGAGCTTCACTACAACATCTCCTATATCTAAAAATGTAATAACTTCCCCATTTGATAATCTGCATTGTGTACTGCCAGGTTCTTTTATGGAAATATATGGCCTGGTAATCCACTCTAATGAGTCTAGAGTGGGACAGTCACATTTCAAGATATTGCCCTTGATGCTTAGGTGAAGACTGTCGTTTCTATGAATCATTATTTGGTCAATTTGATCTGTTAGTTGTATTGGTATGTCTTCATATCTGTTTTCCGATATGTCTAAGGTATGGAGGTGCGTCATGTGGCTAATCTCAACAGTCCAAGAGGTCATCATGTTCCAACTTAAATCAAGAACCTGAAGTCTGGTAAGTCTCTTGAATATTGATGAAGGCAGTTCCCGAATAAGATTATTTGAGATTCTTAGTACTTCCAAGTTTGATTGGTTGAACAATATCTGCCCATTTCTGTCCGCTTGAAGAGCCACTGAGAGGTAATTTCTACTTATATTTAAGATTTTTAGGCCACTAGCAAACATGAAAAATGTTGGAGCTATATATGTACAGTAATTGTCAGAGAGATCCAGGTATTCAACTGTGTGAGATTCATGTAATGGCCCTATCCACCTTGTTAAGACATTGTGGGATAAATCGACTGTTCTAAGTTGGTTTCTATTGAAGTTAAGCTCACCAATGTGATAGTTCAATTTACTGTTGCTAACATTTGCATATGTTACATTTGGAGGTAGCAGTATTTTAATACTTAAGTCAATGATTATGTTTTTTTCATATTCTGCATTGTAATAATAACTATTATGATAGTTCCAGCACAAAGAGCTATTGGTACATTCTGCCTCACAGGCACGCGTGCATATTCGTGAATATTGAACCACTGGTTGAGCCTCAGATGAAGGCAGCCTAGGATTCTCGGAGGGAGTTGGGACTGTACCAGCATCAACAAGAGGGATATTAGATGCGTACTGGTTTTCAACATGGATTTTACGTAAATTTGTCAGTTCATTCAGACTCAGGAGATAGGATCCAAATGTCACTCTGTTGTGTTTCATGGATACCAGTTCCACAGTTTTTAAAAGTCTGATGCATTCCTGATCGATCAGTTCCACTCTGTTTGAATCTATATAGATCTCCTTTACATTAAGATCAGTGAAATACCTCATATTGTGATGCTTTATGTGAACTCCTATGGCAAATGTTGTCACAATCCTGTTGATCTTTAATACTCTTAGAGATGAAAACCGAAGCCCATATCCAGCTTCACCAAGGCTATCAAATCCTAGATACTGATTGTTGGAGATGTCTAGAGTATCAATATGCCTCAGTGGCCAAAATGCACTTGTTTCAATAGAGTAGATTCCACATTTGCTGATGTCCAGGTACCTGACAGACGGAATGTGAAGGAAAGATGTATTCAGCAGCTTTTGAATTGAACAGTAGCCCCTTTCCCCTGATACCGTAAGCTTAGTAAGATTCTTGAGTTTCGAAAATCCATTCCCAAACGTGGCATTACGTACACCATCAATGACAAGTGTCCGAAGAGCAGTAAGATCGCTCAGAGCTTTATCTGGGTACACTGAATCTGCGACCTTGCTGTTCTGTCCAATGTTCAGAGTATGCAATCTTTTCTGCTGTCTGAATATCCCGTCTGGATATGCTGTCTCGTTTAGCGGAAGATTGTTTCCATGGAGACTCAGTTGTAGCAGGTTTGTAGCTCCGATAAAAGTGCCCACTTGCAAACTTTTTAGTTGATTGAAGGATAGGTCAAGATGTTCCAATATGGTGAACCGTTGAAACCAACGACCTGACAGAGGATTAATTCTGTTATGAGACAAACACAGGTATGATACTGAATTTGGAATCGTTTCGGGGATGTAAGATAGATCTTTGTCCGAACAATTGGCGATAATTTTTCCATTTGATGCCACACTACACACACAAGGCTTGCAGCTGATGTTGAGATGTCCTCCTTCAGACAGAGTCAGGCAGCCAAGGAACAGACACAGGACGCAAAGTAGCATCTTAGCTGAAATCAAAAAGCAAATTAAAGCTGTCAATACTAATATGAGATGTACCCCATAATGTGTTCGTTTGTCATCTAGGATGCTCCGTTATAAATGTGGTTCTGTCATATGTTACATAATACACTAAGTTTTTGTCATATTGCGGCAAAAACCACGGAGAAGACGCCAGAAATGGGCTTCTCAGATTACATCCATGTGGGATAATCGAACCTGAGGCTTCTGCATGACGGGTGAACGCTTTAACCACTGTGCTACCCTAACACCATATTGTGTTGTAACTCGAATCTGATCAAGCACAAACATAATAATACTAGTAAAACTTGATAAATATATATATAACGCGTTCCATTTTAATTCTGGAAACCCAAAAGTCCAGAAACTTTACGGTCTTTACCCAGTCTCGGTCAAAGGTATTTACAAAAATAAACATGCTGTTTCCAAGGAAGAAAAAATGTGGATACATGTTTTACACATTTTCGTTCATATGTGGATATATTAAGCACAAAGGCACAAAAAATGTTTATGAAAGATGAATTAGTGCCTTGATATATTCAACGAGATGTGTATCATCGTTTAATGGGGTCATTCTATAAAAGTATGTTTGGAGGAGATATCAAAGGAGCCGCCCAATATGCACAGTGTCGTCCGGTGAACTACCACCCCACCCTGTCCATAAGAGTTATGTAATCGGTACACAAATATATTTGATGCGGTGTCAGTGTGGAAGGAGTTTGAATTACGTCCGCCACTGGCCACAGAAATCCTCAAAGTATAGTAACAATCAAGAAGGTCAATGCCGTACTAATTACCTAGTGACGCACGTACCACCGACTGTCAATCTGTCTGCTACAGCAACCATACCATCATCCCGGTCACAACTGGCATATTGACGGCTTATTCAAAATGTTAATTGTAGAAACGTCGTTAAGAGACTAATGTATGTCGTATACAGTCCTCATATTTGATTTAAAAAAGTAAGTACGTCAACTGGGAATTCAACTGGATGTTACCTTCCTTATATCAGCTAACAGCCCTGTTTGTGAAAATATGTACTAGACATAAGATTAAAAGACTAATAAAATCAATTGTAAGACCGCATAGACCATAAAACCGAATTAAATATGTCTTGGTATCATCTCTTGTGTATTAGATGATGGTAATGACCTGGAATGTTATAACGTTACATTAGGACGGAGAAACATTAAAGTGTTTTATAATCCTTGGGAACATGAGCCAAAAGATGTAGCAACATAGACATGCATGGAATAGGGAAAATGGTGAAAACAAACTGAAATAGATTTTAATAAAACATTATTGTACTAAACAACTTGCAAAAGCGGTGCCCAAAGTTGTTTGACCGTGTTATGTGTGTTGTAGACTGACGAATAGCAAGTAATTGTCATGCTGTGCGCATGGTCCCATATACAAATTCAGAAATACATCCGGTATGAAACTGAGAACTAAGATGCCAAGTACAACCTGCATTAACACACGGAAGCAATATACTTGTGTGTATGCCCTATCCTCTGAAAAATGTATCACTAAAGTATTTGCATTGTAATAAATATAGTAATGATAAAACTTGATAATTTGGTAGGTCTCCGACAGATATAATTTTCCGTTATTTTACACCTTTGATTGATACGGATTACGTACATGTAGTCTAGTCACTGTCTCTAGCGTATCTGCTTGTTAGAAATGTCAAATGTCCTGTTATAGCACTGTTCCTAAAATGAGGCAGTTTCTCTTTTCGGGTATAAATAGTTGATTCGTCTTGTCACGCAGGCATTTTTACTTGATCGACTGATTCACACAAACAATTCCGGCAGAGGGTTTTGTATTTTGTTACATACATGAATTGTTAATTGTAGAAGATGCTTACATCACTGTATCTCAGAACGCAAATCTGATAATATTCAAACATGTAATTAGTACACAGTTAATTGTTACATTATACTTACCGCCAAAAGAAACGCGAGCCATAGAAAGATATAAAGAGAAGTATGTATTTTAAGAGTGAGTGAGTGAGTGAGTGAGTGAGTTGGGTTTAACGTCGCTTTTAACAGTATTCCAGTTATATCGCGGCGTGTCAGATTAATGTGGGAGGAAAGCCCGAAGTGATGCAGGTCTCAGACGTTTACCACTTCGGTGAAACCCACGAGCACGGGTATGTACTTTAAGAAGAAATGTTTCAAATGTGTACCACTTAATGGCAAAACTTACAATCAGTCAAGTGTTACCACAGTGTCTTGTCGTAAGAGGCGACAATGCTTGTCGTAAAAGGCGACTAACGGGATCGGGTGGTCAGGCTCGGTGACTTGGTTGATGCAGGTCAACAATCTCAATTGTGTGGATCGATGCTCATGATATTAATCAATGGATTATTTACAGACCGCCGTCATATAGCTTGAATATCGCTGAGTGCGGCGTTAAACAACAAACAGCCAACCTTTTTTGAGGAGGTACACATAAACTGACCATTGTTATGAGTGAGGGAGTTTAATTTTAATTCACGTCGGCATTAATAAATCTTTTTTTTAAAACTGTCGCTGAAGGACAGTATAATAACTACCAATATTTCACAGATTGATTTAAAACTAGTTGTAGAAAATTAAAAATATCTTATTACTGGACAACGACACGGCATAAAAATAAGGGGTTCAGATCACGAGCAACAATGGTAGGGTCAGACTATTGTTATTTCTCATGATACATTTCCCTTCCTCCAGGGCTCGTTGTCTCTAAAGATAGATACACCGGACATTCCTCACACAGTTTCCATTTTGCTGTTGGTTGTATGACAAGGAGGTGTTTTACGTTACGTTCTTTGTACATATTTGTAACTTTAGATAGCTTGTTGAATTTCTTCCTTTAAGGAAGTTCTTTGCCGTCGTCGCATGGCAGGAATACTGCACAAAACACATTATTTTATCTGTAAATTGTGTGAGTGGCTGCTGCTACAGGTAAGGCATGCCATGCTTTTTCTTCGAGAACTGACCGCCTTCGTGGTCTAGAGGTAGAACGTCCGCCCGGAGAGAGGATGCCCCGGGGTTCGTTCCCTGGCCGGGTCATACCAAAAGACGTTAAAATATGGTACTTGTTGTTACCCTGTCTGGCGCTCGGCATTAAAGGGCTAAAACAAGGACTGGTCGGCTCGGAGTCAGTGTACTGTGTCTGAGTGGGGTATTCATGTTAAACTACGGCATGGTATCTCAGTGGTCTAGCATTACAAATTGGCATCAGTCCGGACTTGTACTAGTAGCCACACACACACACACACACACACACACACACACACGTGCATGCACCTCGCTATATAAGTGCAATAATCTTGGACGCGACGTTAAACCCAAATATACTACACCTAACCTTCGAGAACATTCGAGAGCACCTGTGTCCTCTCGTGATTTGTCGGATAATCATGACGGGTTATTCTCTGGCGTTAAAGTTTTATGTTTCCTCAAATTATTAACCTGTATGCAAGTCATCCAGTAAATGACTGGACTAAATATATCTCGCGGAACCATCGCCTTCGCGGAACACGCAATCTACCACATCACCGAGACTGGTGTCGTGATTCATTGAGTTGCCTGTTCCGAGAAGCATAGGGGACTTTGGGGAGCCTTGTTGTTAAAGCGTTCGCTCGTCACGCCGAAGACCCGGGTTCGATTCCCGACATTGGTACAATGTGTGAAGCCCATTTCTAGTGTCCCCAACCGTGATATTGCTGGAATAATTCTAAAAGCGGCGTACAATATAAAACTCACTCACTCCGACACTCCGAGAATCATGGGCTCCTGGGGGCTAACTTAAACCAGGAGTACCCATATATATACCGACATCTCTACCGTCAAAAGTTTTAGGACAATATTTCACAAAATGAAAGCAAATATCATCTGAAATTTCCTGAAACAGCAATAAGTGAAATGTTGAACTTCGACACAGAAAACACCCTTGTGAATTAGGGAATAGGAATTGTAGTCAGGACTTGTGCGCCCGTCCTGTTTCTTTAAGCAAATGAAATTCAGTTCTCTCCAATAATTATTATTGGCCTATTAGTGCCATATATGTGCTTGTGGTTTTCACTGACGTGTCAAACGAGTCTGCGCTTTGCGTGATATAACTATGCTTTTCTTAAGAGGCGACTAACACGATGGGGTGGTCAGGCTCTCTGACTTGGTTGATGCATGTCATCGATCCAAATTGCGTGGATCGATGCTGATGATATTAATCACTGGATTGTCTTGACCAGACTCGATTATTTACAGACCGCCGTCATATAGCTGGAATATTGCTGAGTGCGGCGTTAAACAACAAACAAACATCACTAACGTTTAACAAAGAGGCTGTCTACTGATATTGAATAAATAATATAATATGAAATATAAACAAATTCTCACCTGCAACTTGTGATTCAACACCCAGTCAAACAGCAGGCACAGTTACGCGTAGTTGTGATGGAGGGAGTCGCGGCGTCTACTAAATACATATTATTAAGCACATCCAGGACAGATCACATGACACCGCATATCCGTAGCCGGAACACACTCCTTGTGGGTAATTCCCATCAAAACGCCGTTGAATTATGGGCAGTTGAGGATGAGAAGAACTGGGCTTTTCCTAGGCTTCTCGTGTGAGCATATTGCAGTTATGTTACAGAGCAGAGTGTAGTTTACTGATGATTTAAACAGACACAACTTTTCGCGTTTGTCATGTATGCCTGGTTTCGGTCTTCGGATGTATTTTCAAATATGTATACTTTCTTTAAAAGTTCTAAAAAGCTTGAACTCCAGAATGTGAGAACACAGCTGCTAAATATTCCACCTCAAGAAGTCTAGTAGACATCTTACCACAGCGAGTACAGAACATCAAACAAATCACAACGTACAAAATGAATACACAATGCTTGTGTGGGTGATTAAATCCCAATGTATACTTTCTTTAACAGTTCTAAAAAGCTTGAACTCCAGAATGTGAGAACACAGCTGCTAACTATTCCACCTCAAGAAGTCCAGTAGACATCTCACTACAGCGAGCATAGAACATCAAACAAAACAAACCGTGGGACATCCGTGATCATACTGTGCCGTACAAGGTTGACCTTGTTTTATTCGTTTTGATTGGATAACCGTGACCTCTGTCACACAGGGACTACTTTTTCCATTCATAAAGAAATCGCGAGACGTCATTCATTTCACAACCACAAGGCAGAACTGAAGCAACCTCAGGAGAGCGAGAGGTATTTACAAACAAATTATTAAACCAAAGAAGATAGTCACACGGATCAAATTCGGTTTGCATGCTTTATAAGTTATATATAGAGCTTCTACAAACACTATATGATCGAGCTATATCCATTTACAATGTACGACTACCGATAAATAGATCGAGGATCCCACTGAGCGTGACCACCCGACCACTTTCGCAACTTTCAATTTGATTTAACGTAAAAGGATAAGCGTGGGGAAATGAAGTCAGTTTCAACTATCTGGTCAGATATCTAGACTTACTTGGGATGATCCGGTTGTGTCCAGTGTCCCCTTCGAAGCGTATTTTGTGGCACTGTTTCGGGAGTTGTTTGTTCACGACTGCACGACAATATCACTCAAAGTGAACATTTCCGATACAAATCATACGAAAACTCCGTAGAGGTGTGCCTGATTTCTGATTAGGTGGCCAAAATATCCCAAATGTGAACAATAACATTCCCTATCTCAAGCGTGAGAAGATCACGGATGTCTTTTCTGATTCCGATGTTGACTTTGCCCTTCGTCTGAAGGAGTCACTGATATGCAAGCAGACTTGAGTTTTCACGTCTTCAGTATAGGGTGGTACATATAACATGAATGTCTTTGGCGATCACTCTGATTCCGTCTTCCAAAATGGTACGCACGTGATATATATTCAGCTGATAGACCAATGAAACCCAACCATTTTGAATGCACAGACGGAACCCCGGCAGTGCGAGTGACGGACTGTTGGTCCAATATTCAAAGGGCGGCGCTAATGTGACTTCTAAAACTTTTTTATAGGTGTCCTGCGTACTAACAACATGGCGTAAACACAACTGCAGGCGCATGTTGTTAATGCGTATGCATAGAAATATCAACATATATCAATATTCATGCGCAACCAGATTTTGCAACCGGTTGCAACCGGTTGCAACCGGTCAACAAACGAAAGTTGTTATGGTTTTACACTTAAATATATATTTAACGTGGGTAATAAATAAACTACCACACTCATTCTCGTTAGCTACAATTTTTACGAAACTCGTAAACTTTATATAGTATATGACCTCGCTTTCTAACGAGAATGAGTGTGGTATTATCTATATACCTAACCTTGTTCTGTTCTGTTCTGTTGTAGAAGCGATTAATGTGAGTAGTGTTGTCAGGCTCAGTAGTTTGGCTGCGTGTAATTGTAACCCAACGGCGTTGGCAATCAGAAGTTAGCATATTATTCGTCATTTGTCATTCGTCATTAGCAACAAACCCGTGAAGATCCGGGGTAGAATAGATCTTCAGCAACCCTTGCTTGCCGTAAGAGGCGACTATGCTTGTCGTAAGCGGCAACTAGCGGGATGGGGTGGTCAGGCTCGGTGACTTGGTTGATGCATGTCATCAGTTTCAATTACGTGGATCGATGCTCAATGATGTACAATCACGGATCAGGTTCTACGGATATGTAGCCAACAGTACAATCACGGATCACGTCCCACGGATATGTAGCTAAGAGTACAATCACGGATCAGGTCCCACGGATATGCAGCTAACGGTACAATCACGGATCAGGTCCCACGGATATGTAGCTAACAGTACAATCACGGATCAGGTCCCACGGATATCCATGCAGCTAAGAGTACAATCACGGATCAGGACCCACGGATATGTAGCTAACAGTATTATCACGGATCAGGTCCCACGGATATGTAGCTAACAGTACAATCAAGGATCGGATCCCACTGATATGTAGCTGACAGTACAATCTGGGATCGGGTCCCACGGATATGTAGCTAACGGTACAATCACGGATCAGTTTCCACTAATATGCAGCTAAAAGTACAATTACGGATCAGGTTCCACGGATATGTATCTACTGGTACAATCACGGATCAGGTCCCACGGATATGTAGCTGACAATACAATCACGGATCAGGTCCCACGGATATGTAGCTAACAGTACAATCACGGATCAGGTCCCACGGATATGCAGCTAAGAGGACAATCACGGATCAGGACCCACGGATATGTAGCTAACAGTATTATCACGGATCAGGTCCCACGGATATGTAGCTAACGGTACAATCAAGGATCGGATCCCACTGATATGTAGCTGACAGTACAATCACGGATGAGGTCCAACGGATATGCAGCTAAAAGTACAATCACGGATCAGGTCCCACGGATATGTAGCTAACGGTACAATCACGGATCGGGTCCCACGGATATGAAGCTAACAGTACAATCACGGATCAGGTCCCACGGATATGTAGCTAAGAGTACAATCACGGATCAGGACCCACGGATATGTAGCTAACGGTACAATCAAGGATCGGATCCCACTGATATGTAGCTGACGGTAGAGTAACGGATCAGGTCCCACGGATATGTAGCTAACAATACGATCACGGATCAGGTCCCACTGATATGTAGCTAATGGTACAATCAAGGATCAGATCCCACTGATATGTAGCTGACAGTACAATCACGGATCAGGTCCCACGGATATGTAGCTAAAAGTACAATCACGGATCAGGTCCCACGGATATGTAGCTAAAGGTACAATCACGGATCAGGTCCCACGGATATGTAGCTAACGGTACAATCACGGATCAGGTCCCACGGATATGTAGCTGACAGTACAATCACGGATCAGGTCCAACGGATATATAGCTAGCAGTACAATCACGGATCAGGTCCCACGGACATGTAGCTAGCAGTACAATCACGGATCGGGTCCCACGGATATGTAGCTAACGGTACAGTCACGGATCAGGTCCCACGGATATGTAGCTGACAGTACAATCACGGATCAGGTCCAACGGATATGTAGCTAGCAGTACAATCACGAATCAGGTCCCACGGATATGTAGCTAACAGTACAATCACGGATCGGGTCCCACGGATATGTAACTAACGGTACAATCACGGATCAGGTCCCACGGATATGTAGCTAACAGTATTATCACGGATCAGGACCCTCGGATATGTAGCTAACAGTACAATCACGGATCAGGACCCTCGGATATGTAGCTAACAGTATTATCATGGATCAGGTCCCACGGATATTTAGCTAAAGGTACAATCACGGATCAGGTCCCACGGATATGTAGCTAGCAGTACAAACAATGGTTTCGACAGTGCAAACACGGATCTGGGAATACGCGTTGAAGTGTATAAACACGAATTTTGAGCTAACGGCACAAACTCATATCTGGATTCAACTGTTCAAACACAGATCATGACCAAACTGTCATCCGAGGACAAAAGACTCCAGCAAATATTAACTCTAAATGCTTCATTGGGATATCCATAAAGTGACACGCATTTTACAATAATTAACTCTGCCTGAGCTTTTCAACACAATGTTGTCAGAGGAAAACAAACACCACCCTGCCTCTTCCTATCGTTTTTTGTCTCTATCTCGTACTTTATCTGAGGGTCGTGGCGTTAATGTCTACAGGTTATAGTTTAGCCGAACTGCCTGGGCGACCACATGACAAGAATTACCTTCGGCCAGTTACATTTGAATACTTGTTTTATAACATATTTGGCCAAAGTTCAATGTACGTCGAGGAAAAGAATCAATGAAACTAATTCAAATGTCAAATGTTTACTCTAATGAATGAATGAGTGATTAAAAACATTATATGTAGTAGATTCATTTACATTCTAACCTTGTTAAGTCGTTGGGACATGTTCTCCAAATTCACAATGAAGGTAAATGTATCGTGCATTTGTTATCTAATGTGTGTAAGCAATCATGCAAAGTAAATTGAAAGAAGAGCACTTAAAATTTGATGTATGGTGATAACCGTGGCCTTGATTCAACATGCATACAGCTTTATATCTTTTCTAACAATGTCCAACACTTGTAACGAAGAAAATTTTACTCTAGAGACGCACTAGTGAGTGAGTAGCCCAGTTATATCGCGGCGTGTCAGCTTAATGTGGGAGGAAAGCCCGAAGTGATGCAGGTCTCAGACGTTTACCACTTCGGTGAAACCCACGAGCACGAGTAGGGCCCTGACAAACCAAGAAACATTATCGGAGCGAACCGGGATTCGAACCCAAAATCATAGTTTTCTGGCGTGCTCAAGGGACGCAACTCTGCACAGCGAGTCGCGGGTCTTAGACGACTGGGCCACCCGTGTCCCCAGAGGCGCAATTAGGTGCATAGTTTACGCTACAAAGGGACGCAAGTTTGCCTATCGAGTTGCGCCGCCTCAGACCCTTACTGACCTAAGATGTATGAT